TTCTTCTTTTTATGTAATTTGCTGCTACTTCTGAATTTTACTGTTTAAATGATTTTAATGTAATGTAATTTTACTGTAATTTACTCTGCTTCTTGTGATCCGCCCTGAGTCCACTTTGATGAGGGTGGAATAAAAATCTGATAAATAAATAAAATGATAAAGACTTTCTCGCAATCTCTAGAGCTACTTTTGTCACCTCCGTTTTTCTTTTTACCAGTAGTGACACGACACCGCATCCGGCATCGCTCCCCGCCCACTGGTTGCCAGTCACTGTCTGGTAACCCTGAATTAGCAGGTTCTTTTCCTCCAGCATGCTAGTTTTCACACAGAAACACTCAAAACTGAGCAGTACAAATGGCAAAATGGCATGATGTGGATATTGCTGGACTTTATTACTTTAGAATTCAAGAGGGGGGAGGAAAGAAAGATTCGAGGGATTGCATTTTTGAAAGCTTTCCATTCTGAAACAAAATCCTGCACATACCAAATTGGCACAATGGGGGAGAAGAAAGGCCTAGATGAGAAGAAGAAGAAGAGAAGAGATTGGATTTATAGCCCGCCCTTCACTTGGAGTCTGTGACCATCTTCAAATTCTGGGACAGATACATAACTTTAGAGAGCAAACGGTGGGCATTCAGGGTTTTAGACAGCCCTCCAGTTGCAATGGCTTTGGATCACAGGCGAAGCTGAGTTGTTTTATACAGCTCACCTTACCCTGAGGATAAAATCTTAGTTCCCCAATTTCTTCCCCAGGACCAGAAGTTCTCTGAGTGACCTTGGCCCAGTTACGGGATCTCAGCCTAACCTACCTTTCAGGGTTGTTGTGAAGATAAAAAGAGGAGAGGAGATGGGTGTGAGCCACTTTGGTTGACAGGCAGTGTGGTGGACTAGGTCTGGGGAGAGTGGCTTTGAATCCCTGCTGGTCAGGAAACGTAGCAGATGACCTGGGGCCAGGCGACCTCTCCCAGCCTAACCTACATTATGGGCTTGTTGTCATGATAAAATGAAGAAAGAGGGAAGCCTGTCTCGGATCCTAAGCAGAGGAAATGGCTTTGCACATAAGGAAGACAGCTTCCCTGCTACATTCTCAGCTCCTGTTGGTCAATGGACAGTGTGTGTATGTGTGTGGGGCAAATTGGGAGTTTGAAGCAGGGGGTGGGGGCAGGAACCACAAAGACCACCTTTCTCTCCACCCCAGCCATTCCACTGAGGGGCGGCTGCTGTGCAGACAGAATGGCCTCATCCAGATCCAAGACCGCACACCCTGTCCTGAGCGCCACGTCCAAATGAAAGCCCCGTGCCAGCGTCCGGCAGACCGACAGAAGATCACAAACAAAGCCTCTGCATCTTTGTCAAAGCAGCAAGAAGCCATTCACCATGAGATTTTTGATTCTCCCAGCTTTGTCAAAAAAAACCCCCAAAAGTAGCAGGATGGGTTTATCGTGCCCTCGCGTGCTATGGTGCTATCTTTCCTGGTGCCGGCTGTAAAAATGACTGACGATCCCTAGCCATACCCAGCCAAAGCACGGTACTCTCACAGCGCCGGCCTAAGCAGAGCTCTACCATTCTCAGTCTTGAACCTCAATGGACTTAGAGAACCTGTGTCACTGTGTTTGGGATAGCACTGGAAGAGTCACCAGATCCTCCAACGGGCCACAGGGGAAGATGGCGACTTGCCAGTCTGACACCCTCTGATTTGCTAACAAGGATCGCTCCCTGAGCTCCCTCCCTCTTCCCCATTACGTATTGCTAATGATGACTCTTCTGTGGCTAAGGGGTTCTATAGCAGCCTGTCCTGCCAAGAAGGCTTTTGTTCTTTTGGTTTAAGATAGGCCAGAAAAACATCATGGAACTGTTACCGGCGGTTGAAAAGAAATCTCCAGTAAGCAAAAGGGGCAGGCAGCACACATCTGCATGGCACCAATGCTCCCTCTCATTTTTTCCCCATTACTGAGTGAAGCAGTCCACATCCTGAGCAGAATATAACTGCGGTAATCGTAACATGGGCAATGAACAGTGCAAGACCCTGTGTGGCTCCAGACTGCTGCTGAGCCTGTGGGGTGTAGTGGCTAAGAGCAGCAGGCTCTAAACCCCGAGTCAAATGCAGCCCCGCAGCCTCAGGTGTGAAATTGACATGTTTGTGTTGGGGCAAACGGCGGCTGTGCTGCGAGGCAGCTCTAGTGAGAAATCGCCCCAATGCTTCTTTTTCTTCTTCCTGTGTTAATGAGTGGCCACTCACACGCACAGCTTAGAGGGAACACTGCATGGCACCTTTATATTAATCTGTGCACATTTATAGGTATAGGCCTTAGAGAAGCAATCTGGTAAATGTACCAGTTCACACAAACCCTCGGTTTGCATCTCCAAAAGGGTAAAAACAGAGACCAGAAAATTGGTACGGCAGGAGCCTATGGCTCTCCGCTGATTTCCAGCACGCACATTCAAACTTTCAGCAACTGAAACCCAGCAAGCGCTTAATGTTTGACCACATCACGCCTTACGCTTGCTGTCTCTTTGGTTTTTCTTAAAAAAGGCTTTGCACTCCGTGCCTTGACATCTGTGTATTATTTACAGAAGTTCCTCCAACTTCTCTTTTAAGGAATGAGAAATGAAAGGTCAACCGCTGGGTGAATTCTGTCCTTCTTGGTATCTGCTGCCCGTTGGCAGGGAAATATCATCATACACAAAAGTTAACTAAGGTATAAACATGCAAAAGGAGAAGTCTCCCCGCGATCATAAAATGATGTTATTTTCTGTTCAGCAGTTCATGTTACTGCTGTTCATGCTAATTAATTAAAGGAGCTGTTGCTGTAATGTGCAAACAGGGAATCTGAGAAACTGAGAGGGCTTTTAGGTCTCCGAGTGAAGTTAAGTCAATCTGGGCGCGAGCAATCAAATGTAATGAAATCGCATGTCAGTGCTAAGCTTGCAAAAACTGTGAAGTTTGACTGGGGAGTAAAAGGATTATAATTAGATTTCCAATAGGATAATAACTAAATGGCAGAAAGCAGTAAAGAGAAAATATTACTTTGTTAGCTAATGGTGCTGCTGTTCGGTTCGGTTTTTTTTTTTTTTTATCAGCGCCGCTTGTAGTTGTGCTAATTTAATTTGCTTTTATCAGCAAAAAAAAAAGGCACCACTCGAATGGTACTTGAATGTCATTTGCAAAAATCATTGATCTGAAGGTGCACTTAATGACACCCAGTATATTTGTTTTATGGGAAACGGAGATTGGTTGATAAAAAACTTTTGGATGCCGGCCGCCTGTGTGGCCCCCACAAGTGAGTTACAGCTATCAAAACAGAAGAGAACTCAAAATGGGAAGCTTTCTCAATGCCTGACAGTCCAACTGCCTACTGGACAATACCCTGCAATACTCTAGTCTTTCATAAGGAGGGAACGCAGGATAGCAGTCTAGGCACGCAGGAGAAGATGCACTCGCTCAGGATCTGGAAGGGCTAGATGTGACTCTCTAGTGTGATCTTTTAATGACTAAATAGCACCGTTGGAGATTCCTGATCTAGATGAGGGCTGTGGTGTTTTCACTTCTTTCCCCAGCTCTGTTTCCTTGACTTTCAAACACTCTCTGGAGCCACAATCTGTTCTTTGGGGGGAAATTCATACAGGCAACAGGGAAGCAGCTCTGATCCTTTCCACGAGCCATTTAAGTCAGTGGCCGTAAAAAAAAAAAGCAAGGTATAAGCAGGCTAAAGAAGTCTGCCCCACTATGGTAAAGCAATTTTTTTTTCATTCAGCAGCTCACGTTACTGCTGTTCATGCTAATTAATTAGCAAACTGTGCTTGGCATGATGTGTGAAACACCTTGATGGAGCCAGTTTGGTGTAGTGGTTAAGTGCACGGACTCTAATCTGGGAGAACTGGGTTTGATTCCCCACTCCTCCACTTGCACCTGCTGATGTGACCTTGGGTCAGTCACAAGCTCTGGCACAGCTGTCCTTGAAAAAGAACAGTTTGTGTCAGAGCTCTCTCAGCCCCACCCACCTCACAGGGTGTCTGTTGTGGGGAAGGGAAGGGAAAGGCGTTTGTAAGCCGCTCTGAGACTCCAAGTGAAGGGCGGGGTATAAATCCAACCTCTTCTTCTTCTTCTTGGATTCTGATGGCCTGGTTTGCACGGCAGAGCTAAGGCTCTGCTGCTCCACAGTGCATGGGGTTCCCCCCCCCCCCAGGACTGATTCATCCTCAGTGTTAAAAAATGTCTTGCATGTAGAAAACTGGATGTCAGGAGGAAAGGTTCTAGTGTAGCTGTCTTCTTGACACGCTTGTTTCCCACGCAGGAGGAATTCTTTTGTACGGAGGAATACCTCATGTTATGAACTCCCATCTGCAGTATGAATTGAGTCAGCCCAGACAGAGGTTCTGCCAATCTCAGTGAGAACAAACAACCAAGATGCTGTTATGATCAGGGCCACATGCTCATGACAACTGCTTCCACTGGTGTATGTGCTCACCGAAGGCACTCGTACACAATACAGATGCAAACCGGTTTTACAACAGGCAGATTCCCATGGCTTCCCTCAAAGGATTCTGGGACTTGCAGTTTGGTAAGGGTGCTGAGAATGATCTCCTAGAGGGCCACAGAGCCTTCCCAGAACGACAGTTTGCAGGGGCCCTTGGGAGGAAGGACTGACATACTGGTTTCAGACAACTAGTATAGATATGCCCGTAGTCTGTTCCATCCCTACAATCCTTGCGGCACTCCTGCTTCAGCCTGTATTGATCTCCTCTTGGCCAACCTATGGATGAAGACAACTTCAAACCCGACACTTTGAACTACCTGTGTGGGAGACTTCCTGATGACGGCAAAGACATATTCCCATGGACAATGGCTACCCATACTTTTTGCCAGAGGTGCTTCAGGCCATTCTGAATGCTAGCAATAAAAGCCACTTGTGGACTTTGGCTTCTGCCACACACTGTGGGACCTACCTCTGAGATACGGCCAAAGATGTAAGTAACATCCTACGTGCCAGATACCATACCTTGCATTGCTGCACTGTCATGTTGGGTTCCATTGTGTTCTACTTCCATGTCTGGGATTCCAGCGTCTGCAAGATGGAAGAGAAAAACATGTGCACAACTGTCCATCTCTAGATATAGCAGCAGGATAATATATTCAGACTGGACCAAAATTTCATGTTAGCAAATCTTCTGCAAGGAAGAGGTGTTTCCAGAGAGAGGGGGAAATTACTTTTGTACTATTTTTCAAACACTCTCCAGGCAACCAGAAAGGGATTGGTTCAGCTGGGAAACGTTCCTGCATGTGTTGATTTTCAAACGTATATGGGTAGGGCCGGCTCTAGCTTATTTTGCACTCTAGGCGAGGAGCCCTTCTGAGGCCCCCACATGCGCCCACCATGGCTTGGACCCGTTCATTGGATCTGTACCCCTGACCTCCCATTCCCCTGGCACCCATGCTCTTAACACTCACTTTTGCTTTTGTAACTTTGCCTGCTTTACACATCTGACTTCCACCAAGGAAGACTGCAAAGAAAGGCACTCGTCGCAAACAATCTCTGCTTCTCACTTGCCTTGACAGTTCATTGCTGGGGTTGCCATAAGTCAGTTGCTACTTGAGTGTCCTTATGTTATTAGGTTCTTCTTTGACTCAGCTGAGTGACCCTTCTGTGCCCAGAGGGCGAAATTCTTTGGTGGAATTGGTGTTTGTATCATCAGAAAGATCATAACATGTTTAAAACTCAGCAGTGTTTGCAGCTGAACCAGGACAGCGGGGTGTGTGTGTGCCAGTTTGGTGCCCCTAAAGACCGGCGTGCTCTAGGCGAGTGCCTAGTTCGCCTAGTGAGTGAGCCGGCCCTGCGTATGGGCATACATGAATTTTTGAACATACATGACTTTTCTTTCTCCACATACATGACAAGGATATACATGACTTTCCCTTCTGAAATAGGACCACACTGCTTTGCTCTTCTATGTTTCTGGAATCTGGCTTACAATGAGTGTTTTTAGATTCAGTTAGTTTGGCAACATTACTTCTGACTTATTTTTTATGCGTGTTTGACTGTAATGGCCTTTTGCTACGGACAATGAATTCTATTTGTACCTTTGCTGAATTATGACACTCCACTGGTAAAGGACTGGCTCATTTGTGGGTGCTGTTAACTGCATTTGCAGCCTAACACAGTAAACTGTCTGTACCACTGTTCCATTTATCTCAGTGTTGTCCATTCTGATAGGCTGCAGCTTCTCTTGAGAAGAGGAAGGTCATTCCCAGCCTGGCCTGTGGCTACGGCAGGGCTATTGGGGGCTCTGCCCCCTTCCTTAAAGGGCCCCTGCTTCTTAAAGCCCCATCCACTTCTTCTCAGAATAATTTAAAGGGATCCTTTAATCCCTTTTGAGAAGAAGCAGGGGGTGGCGTGCCCCCCTCTCCCTCCCCCCTGTAAAATTTAAAGGGCCCTCCAACTAGAGCTGCGGTGGCTCAAGTGGTTAAGATGCTGAACTGCAGGCTGTGGAAGGTCGGTAGTTCAGCAGTTTGAGATCCGAGTGTGCCGCATGATGGAGTGAGCTCCCGTCTCTAGTTCCAGCTCCTGCCAACCTAGCAGTTTGAAAGCAAGAAACTGCAAGTAGATAAATAGGTACCACTTCGGTGGGAAGGTAACAGCATTCCGTGCGCCTTGGCGTCAAGTCATGCCGGCCACATGACCACGGAAACGTCTTCGGACAGCACTGGCTCTTCGGCTTGGAAACGGAGATGAGCACCGCAACCCTGGAGTCGGATTTGACTGACTTTCGAGCAAGGGAACCTTTACCTTTACCTTAAATTAGTTTGCTCTGGAGCCCCATCCTTCCTGAGCCAAGACACAGATCTGTCAGCTGGAGGCTAAAAAACTGTGAGCTAGCTCACCCTAACTCAGCTTAGAGGGAACACTGTCCACCGAATGCTGGGAAATATTTTAAATTCCACCCGTGAGAAAGAGAGAGAAATCTTTCCCAACACTTGGTAGCTGAGACCCTTTTAACTCGAGATGCAGGGACTGAACCGGGGGGCCTGCCACGTGCAACTCACATGACCTGCCATTGCATTACTCTAAGTTCTACAATGAAACCCAACTAGCGCATTACCATTTAACATCCTGAGACCGTCACCCGATGTAGCCTGCTTAAGTGCCTGTTCCACTTGTTCTCTCCTCTTCGATTCAAACTCAAGGGCTTCTTGCAATTTCCTCTTGGCTTTCTTTTCTTTCTTCAAGCGCTTTTGAATTGTTGCTGAAATATGAAAAGACGCAATTTTGAAAGCGCTAATGGGAGCTTCCTTGAGATTATGGCGCACAGACACTTCTCAGCTGCCATTCAAGCTCAGCTTTGGTTTACGGGACTACAGCTTTCTCTTTTATTATGGACACGGTTCATGGAAATGAGATCACGACAATGCTTGTGGCTATTCATTTGAACATAGGTTTTCCTGGATCTGAATTCCAGTCTGCTTCCACTTGAAAATCATCTGTCCTCGGATCTTTTTTTTTTTTAAACTAGTCTCAGTGGGCTGTGTTGTTTTACCACCCAAACAGCACCACAGTTTGCCAGTCTGTGACTACAACCGAACATTTAGCAAGCACAATGCGGGTTTTACGCCATGTTTCAAATCTCACTGGTCAGGGATGGTGACACACTCTGAAGTTTCATTCACATTCTGGATTAATCTTTTGCTCTTGCCTACCAATAAGATAAGAGCTGTTTGTACATCTGCCCATGGAATAATCATTGGCATACACTTTCACACGCATACACAAATGGCATTCACCGTAGGTCAGGAATGTCAGGTGGGTATATGCTAATTCTACAGTGCCAAACTATGCACTACATTTTTTTCAAAGGAATCCAGTCTGGGAAACCACAGCTGTATGGCTGTTTGCAGGGACTGTTTTTTTTAAAATGAAAGGTGAGCCTGATTGAGCTGGGAACAACGACAACGTACAAGGAGAATTGATTCCTGCCCTCCCCTCCTGACCAGAAACATCACTGGGTGGGAGCTTGTTGTTGTTGTTCAGTCGCACAGTCGAGTCCGACTCTTCGCGACCCCATGGACAAGATCCCGCCAGGCCTTCCTGTCCTCCGCCGTCCTCTGAAGTTTGCTCAATTTCATGTTCGTTGCATCGATGACACTGTCTAACCATCTCATCCTTTGCCATCCCCGTCTTCTTTGACCTTCAATCTTTCCCAGCATCAGGGTGGGAGCTATTTCCCCCTTTTTGGCGACTCCACATGCACAGAATACTGCCCATGGGGCAACCAAAAAGAGGGAAACGGCTCCCCTCCCAGCATTGTTTGGGACTGGGGAAATGGCGCAGTGGGGAAAGCAAAACCCCCTCCCCCCCATGCCACAGTTCCCAGTTCGTTGAGCTCACCTTTCTTTTTAAACAAACACTGGGTGATTCTGCATCTAGCATCCACATTTTCTCAACTGGGAGGAAAAGGCACAGCTCAAAACCACATTCAGATACTTCGGGGCAACACCGTACTGACTGCAAAGTCACCCCTGAACGGCCCGAAATCTATGCAAAAGATACCATTAAGTCCGATGATCAAAGAAAGCGAAAGCGGCATGCAGTACAGAGGGTACCATAAAAATCTGATGATCAAAGGAAGTGACAGCAGCATGCAATGCAGAGGGGGATTTCTTTTCCAAGGTGGGTTTCGTAAAACAGCAGAGGGAAAAGCCAATGCAGAACCACCCACTGTCCACAGCTGTTGTGTGGCTACAGGGACAGAGAGTCGAGTCTTGGGAACTTGGTCTCGACTCTTTAAAAAATGTGTCTAATCTGACCCATAGACAAACTGAATATCGGGAATGAAATACGGACAGATGTTGTTTGTCAACAATATGAGCATGGAGGCTTGGACCATACTCAATTACTTCTTGCACTGCAGCCCTAAGTAGAGTTGCGCACTTCTAAGCCCACTGAGTTTAATGGATTTAGTGGGGCGCAAGTCTGCTTAGGACGGCACTACTGTGATCTGCACCTCACTTCCCATTGCCCCCTTCATGTCAACATGTGCTCCCAGCAGAGGCCTATGTGGAGAGGCGTGCTACAATTCCTGGCTTGGCAGAGTGGCGGTGGTGATGGTGGGGGCACCCGTGCATTGACTGACAGCCAGACGACAACCGAAGAGGGAAGACTATGATGTAGAAGTCCTGGGACAATCCGCTGGCCTGGATGGCTCAGGCTGTCTTGATTAAGTCAGGTCTTGGAAGCGAAGCAGGATCAGCCCTGATTAGTATTTGCATGGGAGGAAGTGAATGGCCGCCACGCAGAGGCAGGCCACGGCAGACCACTTCTGTTCCGTCTCTTGCCTTGAAAAGCCTGTGGGGTCACCATCAATTAGCTGAGACTTGTTTGCACTTCCCACCATCAACTGGGATGACCCTGTTGATGCCCAGGCTGACAACAATAGCAGTTCAAAGTGATAGGTATCTCGGCTTCACAGTGGCAGCTGGAAACCATAGCACAGAATAGCACAATGGTGACCAGGGTTGATGCCAGCATGCCTTATCCAGTCACAGAATCATAGAATCTCAAGGAGTTGGAAGGGGGCCATCCAGGCCATCTAGTCCAACCCCCTTCTCAATGCAGGATCAGCCTAGAGCGTCCCTGACAAGTGTTTGTCCAGCCGCTGCTTTGTCCAGCCTGCATTGCAGGGAAGGTGGGTATAAATGTGATTAATAAATAGACTGGTGGACCTCCTGATGGCACCTGGTATTTCTGGCCACTGTGTGACACAGAGTGTTGGACTGGATGGGCCTTTGGCCTGATCCAACATTGGCGTCTCTTATGTTCTTATGTAGATAAAAATAAATAAATAAAGAGCTCACCACCTCTCTAGCCAGCTGATTCCACTGTTGCACAACAGTCGGGCCGCTGTATTTCCAGCTGGTGGATCGATGAAGAAATCAGTGGTTTCCTCATAACCCACAGAAAGTTTGAGAGCCCTTATTCCCACAGAGGTGGAATAAGACAACTGTTTTTAAAGCTTACAAGGCATACGGTGCTTAGCTTCCTGAAGGTTACCCTTTATCCTCTACAAAGCTTCCACCCTTGTTGACCGTTAGAGAAGCTCATTGGGAATTATTCTTTTTTTTTTCAGGATCATCTAATTATAAGGGGTGATGGTGAACTTGAGATACCCACGAGCACTGTTCCCTCTAAGCTGAGTTAGTGTGAGCTCGCTCGCAGTTTTTTAGCCTCCTGCTCACAGATTTTTGTCTTTGCTCAGGAAGGAGGGCTCCAGAGCAAACTAATTGATGCAGCAGCCAAATCGCTCGCTCACAACTTTAATGCCAGTAGCTCACAAAGTAGAGTTTTTGCTCACAAGGCTCCACAGCTTAGAGGGAACATCATGGATCAGCAGGCCAGATGGGTAGAATCTGGAGTATTACCACCAAGAAAAGGGCGTGGGGCAGTGGCCAACAGTGATTACTTTTTTTTGTACACAGTCAGTTTCTAACGGGAGCCGTCATTCTTTAAGTCGGACCTCTCGTTTCCAATTTTTTTTAAAAAGTTTTAAAATTAAAGTTTTTAGTGGTGTGAATCAGTGGGTCTAGCCGGTAGGGTGCACTGTGAGCCGCTGCTCTTGGCTGAGGCGAAGGACGCTTATCGGGGCGCCTGTCAATTCCCCAACACCAAATTCTCACCTTCTCTTCCCGCCACAGTGATAAGGCAAGGCAGAGCAAAGGAGAGAAGAGGCGAGGCTCCGATGATTCAGAAGTGGGGGCTGCGTGGAAAAGAATCGGCTTGGCTTGGCCGACAAGAAGCGAAAAGGCACTCCCAAATACTGGGAGGCTGCAGGTGATAAATCTGTGATCCCCCCCCAAAAAAACCCGGCTTACCTCTGCTTTGTAGCTCAGCTGTGAGTTGCCTCTCCAGGCTCTCTCTCAATTCCCTCTCCCGACACAGCTCCATCTTTAACTCTTTCTTTTCCTGCTGGATCTGTTTTTCCTGTACTCGGGCGTTATCTACAGCAACTTTCAGCAACCCCTGTAAAACAGGCACGTGCAACACCTACTGAAAATAGCATCTCGCAAATGACCCGTGAGCGAGGGGAGCAGAGAACGGATCTTAGGGAAACTTAAAAAAAAGAAAAGAAAAAGACCTGGAGAACATGACGCCAAGCAAGGGAACATTTTGCTACTGTTTTATTCCGGTCTTTCTCAACTTGATAGCCATCCAGGGGCACCCACTAGTTGGCCTCATTGTCAGAGAAGCAAAGCATTAACTTTCTAGGATGATGAACGGTTAGTGTAAAAAGATTTGGGGGTGGGGAGAGCATTCACACTTGTGCTAGCTCCTTGCACAAACATAAAGCCCTTTTTGGGCTTAGAATCGAACTATTCCTCCACAACGTACACTCCTTTGTTCTATGACTTCAGCACGTGGCTCAGGTTCAATATATCCAGTGGGCTGGGTAGCCAGTCACATTTCTGTCGCTGGAAAAAGATGTTGATGATGCTGATGGCAAGCCGTTGAGGCTGGTTTCCCACCAGCAGCAGAAATCTCCTGCTCTACTCTACTCTACTCTAATCTGCTCTGTGTAGCACTGCCCTTGAAGATGACTTGGAAACTTCAGCCGGTACAAAATGCAGCAGCCAGATCATGACTGGGTTTCATCGGACAGATCACTAGTCTAACTGTGCTGGCTTCCACTGTGCTTCAGAGCCCGACTCAAAGTGGGGGTCTTCAGAGCCTGAACAGAGCGAATCCTCAGCAGAATTACACCTTGGTCAGCCCATTTACTTCCACGTGCTTTGCTTAGGGGAGCACTATCAATGGCCTGGGTCCGGAGCAATGCTCCCTCTAAGCTGTGGAGTCTTGTGAGCAAAAATCCTACCCTGTGAGCGAATGGCATTAAAGTTGTGAGCAAGCGATTTGGCTGCTGCATAAATTAGTTTGCTCTGGAGCCATCCTTCCTGAGCTAAGACAACAATGTGTGAGCCGGAGGCTAAAAAACTGTGAGCTAGCTCACTCTAACTCAGCTTAGAGGGAACACTGGTTTGAAGTCCCTGCTCCTATTTCCGGGCTGCCCAAGCCTGAAAGTCTTAGGGGAACCTGCTCTGTCAGAAGTGAGACTGACGAGCACCCAGATGACGGACTTCCCTTCCTAAAGAGGTCTTGACTGGCGCTGTCTCTCTAGGTCTTCTGCCAAAAACGGGAAAACATTTTTTATTTTGGAAAGCCTTTGAATGATGAGTTTAACTGATACCAGTTTTGATGCCCGGTAATGTGCTCTATTTATAACGGGCAGCCTGTTTAAAATCCTTTGGGCGGCTTTTATGGTTGTATGTTACTTTGGATCTCTTGTCAGCAACCGTGGGTGACTTAGGGATGGGTCATATCAACATAGCTTAAATAAATTAACACCCCCCTCAATGGTGCTAGTGCCACTGGAGACACCCATTCTGAGTTTGGACGTGGTCCACTGGATGAAGGACCCTCAAGATATTTAGATCTCCATTTCTTCCCTGCTCAGGGCAAACTTCACGGGGAGGAAGAGAGACACCATAGGAGCATTTTACCTGTATATTGGTTAATAGAGTTTCTACCGACGACAACCCATCAGCAAAGAGGAAAGGTGCGGGGAAGCCAGGAGGCAAAGCTTGTCCAGCCAGTTGGACTTTTTCCAAGGTTGGTTTCATGATTGGGATGGCGATCTGGACCTCTTCTGTAATGACAAGATAGGAAGGAAGGTGAGAGAATGTCCCTTCTAACTGTTCAGCATCGGACCACCAAAGGAACAACTAAAAGACGAGCTCAGAGGAACACCTGGGAGAGGGAAAGGCTCACATGGAGAGGCCACAATCTGGAGAGTCCGCTTCCAGTGTCCTCAAGGATGTCTGCTCGATAGGATCGATGGCTTATTTGAACAGCAGAACATCTTGCTGGATAATATACAGCTTTGAACACTCTCTTGAATTTCAACAGCAGCTTGGAAGGCAGCAGGGGAAAATGCTGTTCAAAAAGTGTAATCCTAAAGCTGAGACCACAACACTAGCTGTGCCATTCTCTGGATGGTAGCTCATGATTTTCCCACATAGTCCTCCCACTGGGAGGTTGTTTTTGTTATCTTGGTTTGTGTGATTTAACCACATCCTAAAGAATGATCAAATTGAAACGCAGGTTAAGCAGGAACGAGTGCCATTTACAAGAAGATTTCCCTATGCATGGATAACTGGGAAAATTCACTGCTCGGTGACTTTCCCATCCTGTATAAAATGGCACAAACTTATGCTAGCAATGTAATCGTTACAGCAGTACTGGAAGCCACCAAGGGAAACTTCTGTTAACAACCCCAGCTCTTGTACTTTGAGCTTAGAAAAATCTTACAAAAAACAAGAGCTGTCTGATACGGGCAAAAAGGATGCAGTTCTGAAACCCACAAGATGAAGTTTATCCAGTTTATATTTTCACTATAGGCAGTGTTATTCCGCCAATTTTTAGTTATTTCTTTGATTAAACCACCCTGTCTCCAATGAGATCATAATAAAGAGTGTTATATAGAATTTATTTTTGGATCACTCTATGAATTTAATAGCTAAAGCCACCCACTCCCAGCTTTTGATATTCAGGCAGGTGTTACCCACATAGTTACAAACATCTCTTTTTTACCATTAGGACAGAAACTTGCTTTTTTTAAAAAAAGTGACAAGTTTCTCAGGATCCTGAATTCCATGCTTGCACTATTTGGTCACAAACTACATACATCTCGAAAAGAACTATGTTTCCACTGGTGCATGCTTTTCAAGTGTTACAAACTGGATTTTAAAAAATGAGGATTGAGTTCACCTGTCCATCACAAAGAGGAAAACCTGACATGTTTAAAAAGTGTTTCTTGGTTAGGAAAATATAATCCAAACAATGCCAGAAAACAACAGATAGTTCCCACCAGCTTTAACACTTTCTAATGAATTTCTTAATATTACAGGATTATAGCTAATATTATACCTTTAACTGAATTCCTTTTCGTGACTAAATGCCATTTGTTAACTCCGTGACAAACAATACAAATATATTTTTTAAAAATCACTTGCTTTTACTTCTTTTGTTTAATTTCACAGCCACGATAACCTCCTTTTGATATAAGTTATAGTTTTGCAATGGTGTGAATTAATTTATGGGATGTACTACCACTAGATGAAGTGGTGGCAGCTACCTTATGGGGGAGATATGTGTGTGTGCACGTGTAGAAACATAAGTTAACATAAGAGAAGCCATGTTGGATTAGGCCACTGGCCCATCCAGTCCAACACTCTATGTCACACACTGGTCAAAACCCAGGTGTCATCATGAGGTCCACCAGTGGGGCCAGAACTCCAAAAGCCCTCCCACTGTAGGCCCCCGAGCACCAAGAACACAGAGCATCACTGCCCCAGACAGAGTGTTCCTTCCATCTATACCTTGTGGCTAAAAGCCAAAGATGGACCTCTGCTCCATAAATTGATCCAATCCCCTCTTGAAGTTGTCTATGCTTGCAGCCGCCACCACTTCCTGTGGCAGTGAATTCCATGTGTTAATTACTCTTTTGGTGAAGAAGTACTTCCTTTTATCTGTTCTAAACCTACTGCTCATCAATTTCATTAAGTGCCCATACGTTCTTGTATTGTATCTTCTCTACCTTCTCTATCCCATGCATAATTTTGTAAACCTCTACCATGTCACCGCACAGTCGTCGTTTCTCCAAACTAAAGAGCACTAGTCTCTTTAACCTTTTTTCATAGGGAAAGTGTTCCATCCCCTTAATATTATAGTTGCCATTTTTTGCACTTTCCCCAATGCTATAATATCTTTTTTGAGGTGCAGTGACGAGAACTGTACACAGTATTCCAAATCCTTTTCTCCTGTAGATGAAAGTGTAACTCAGTAAGGATGATTTTGTGCTGACAAATAACAAGGGGGGAAAGGATATGCCTTCCTTTTCCATGTGTCTTTCTGCTCAGACAGTGTCCTTTAGGCTGCTTGGAGTTTTAAGAAGAAGAGAACCGGGAGGCGGGAAGATTGTTAGAAATCCATGCAATGCACAGTTTATTTATGTTATTTATTTATATCTTTCTTCTCTCCCCATCGGGAAGCCAAAGGGTTTAGAACAGGGGTGTGGCCAAACTTGCTTAACGTAAGAGCCACATAGAATAAACGTCAGATGTTTGAAAGCTGCAAGACATGAACAAATATTACACGTTTTTACTGGGAAATATGCAGATTTGCTTTTTATTAACATTAAGTGAGACTGCCAAAAATAATAACAAAACCTTTCAAAGCAGATATTGATAATGATATTTATTTGTCCAATGATAATTTGTTTGCCAATGATATTTAACTTCCCCAGCCACCCTGCCGGGAGCTGCACAATATGTGTGAAAGAGCCGCATGTGGCTCCCGAGCCACAGTTTGGCCATCCCTGGTTTAGAACATCTTTTCCCTTCCTCTGTTTTATCTTCACAACAAAAACTCTATGGGGTAGGTTAGGCTGAGAGAGAATTAAAGGTCCCACGTTACCCAACGAGCTTCCTTGGCAAAGGGGCCCCTGAACCTGGGTCTCCCAGATCCTTTTTATTTTTGAAACCCCCGAGAGGGTATTTTTATTATTTTTCATAAGACTATTAACAACAACGAAAAATAAAGGAAGGGGAACTACATCTAAGGATAAAGGAAAGATACCCACACTAACTAAAAACCCAAGAGTAGGAGATCTTTTCCATATTAATCTAAAAGTTAGTAAGACAAGTGTTAGTGATACAATATACTTGTGAAGTTCTTGTTTAACACATCTTCTATATTAGTAAGTTATTCTTTGTGAGAGTACTTCTTGAGCATCTTCTTAACTTCAAAGAGCAATTTACAGAGTCCTTCTGCCCTTACTTCGGTTTTCTGTCCCTAAAGTCATACACAGTTTTCGTTGCTCCCGC